GGGTTGGCTCAAGTCCCTCAACATAGTGTCCCAAGTGACAGCCAGATGTTTTTTGAGCCATCACATATGGAGAACCCAGCGAATAGCTAGAAGGCCTTTCTGAAACACAAAGACGCTTCTTCGCTAGCTCATGGCAACAGGCATGCTGGCTAGCCAGAGGTGCAGGTTGGAATGGTTGTGTCACACACAATCTGTCACACTGTAGGTCATCTGGAAGATGGTCAACAGGTGGCAGCTCAGAATTAGTCGACCTCTGACAGTGACCAAAAGACACCACTGAGCAATTATGCTCCAACTGTCGTCTCGGACTGGCAACTTTGTCCGTTTGTGAACCACGATTGACTCCTTTCAAAGCAGAGCCTTTTTGCTTTGAGTGGGCTTTCAAACAGTTAGCAACCAGGTGGCCAGGTTTGTGGCAGAAGAAACAGAGCTTTGTTTTGGCTCTTGAAATCACGCCTGTATCAGCTTTGCTAGCTGGCACACTCCTAGCTCTCGAGACCAACTGTTTCTGTTTGTAGGCCTCACAATTTGCTATCAAATGGCCAGACCTGAAACAGAAGAAAAACTTTCTTTTCACCTTGGGACGGGACACAGGTACCTCGCTCTTTGGGTACGGCACAGCTGGCACATTGCTAACCTTCACTGAGGCATCGCGTCGGTAATGCTTAATGACACTGGTTTTATGGATGAGGGCAAACTCATCAGCCAGTGTTTCAGCCTGCTGTAATGAGGAAACCCTTTGTCCGCTAAGGTGTACTGCGATGCGCTCGGAGACGCAGTTCTTAAATTCCTCTATCAGCATTAATTCACGCATCGACGCCAGGTCTGTAGCTTTGCTGGTGTGAGTACAAGAAAATAATTAGTGTAATATGTGTTAAATTTGTTTAGATCAGAGGAATGGGGAAGGATTTTTTTGTCTGTGTTTTAGTTTGGCTTAGTTGTAGGCCTGAGAGTGTGTAATTGTTTAGAGAGAAATGAATTTATGGATACTGGGGGTCTGCCTGCCATAAAAGGAGACAGGAAGCTACAGTTGGGGGTTGCTGATGCTTATACCTTTAATAAAACTCTTAAGTGTTATACACTTAGAAGTAGGTTTGCAGGAGATTCTCCACATGATCTGTAAATGTAAGACAGCAAGAGGCCAATGGCCCAGTGGATGCAGAGTGGGGGTCTCAGTGTTTGTAATATGTTAACTCTGTTTTCTATGTTGTGTAGAGGAATTATGTGTAGCTTGGGTGAGATTACTTTTATGACCCCCAGGAAGTCACATACACAGAGACACACAGTGCTTTGACTGTTATGACGCACCCACACCTACATGCACAGTCACTCACGTGCACTCACATAGACACACGGGTATGCGCACACACAGGCACTCACATGCTCGTGCAGACACACACAGACAGAGTTTCCAGCACACAGTGGGGGGTTTTTATGATGGGGTCACTTCTACAAAACTGTTTCACAGACAAAGCAGTGAAGGTCTGCAGAGGGACACCGGCCTTGCACGTCTTCCCTTCTAGAAGATGCATGCTTAGATGAAGATGAATAAAGGTTTTGTGAAATGACTACTGAGTTCCGGTGCCGTCTCTGGATGCCTGAGGAAAAAAAAAAGAAAAAAAAAAAAAAAAGAACCGGGGTGAAACTGATTTCTTAACACTGGACACCACCGATCAAAAAGCACACTTTTCTTCCTCGCAAAGTCTCAGTAGGATTGACCTTGTCCCCTTTTTAATCCCTGGAAACGCTGCCTATAAGCTTCTGGGACTAGCTCATAAGCTAGAAGAATGGCACTTTTTAGCTTGTCATAATTCAGACTGTCCTCAGCGGACAATAAGGAACAAACTTCCTGAGCTTCACCTACCAGGTTACATTGTAACAAAATGCCCCACGAATCCCGTGGCCAGTGCAAGGCTGTAGCTATACGCTCAAATGACTCGAAGTAACTGTCGCGGAACACCGGAACCAGACGACTGCTTTTCCCTACATCTGCCTACCAAATGGAGGCAGTTGGAGGAAGGGAAGCCGGCTGGAGTTCCAACTGTTGCAACTTGACAGCTGTCTCCACCTCCACCTCCTTCAATTCAACCTCCCTGGCCCTTGCAAGCTCTGCCTCTAAACGCCTAAGTTTCAACTCCTTTAACTGGAACTCCCTTTCACGATCCTCCTTTTCCAACTTAAGACGAGCCAGGCGTACACAGAGCCTAGCATCCTGCTTAGAGCCTACTGATGATTCAATGGAGAGAGGTTCGAAGTGAGGCAGTGTCATCTACTTGTCCTCAGGCAACCCCTGAGCAACAGGCGTAAACACTGATGGAGCTACAGCTTGAGCTGGCACCTGCGGAACAGGCTGAGACGCTACACCATGCTCAGGTGGACTGGCAGACACCGGCAAGGCCACCATCCCTTTCTCCACCAATCCAGACATAAGAGCAGCTTTCAGCTCAGCCTTACGCAGAGCTATGGAGACACAAATGCCATAAATTGCTGCCACCTCATGCAAATCCCTCTTCCTACAGGCGTCCAGCTGGACAAGCGAAGGGTTTGCCTTAAACATGGCAACATCAAAGGTAGCCATTCAAAACTACCTGAGGCTAACAATAACGACAAAGAAGCACCACCTCCAACACACAAATCAAAAACAGGTGGGAAATATGTGTGACCACAGGTTAACCAATAAATAAAAATACCATCGACCCTGGCAGCACGGTGGCTAGCACTGTTGCCGCACAGCAAGAAGGTCCTGAGTTCAATTCCAACATCAGGCCGGGGTCTTTCTGTGTGGAGTTTGCATGTTCTCCCCGTGTTTGCGTGGGTTCCCTCCGGGTACTCCGGCTTCCTCCCACCGTCCAAAGACATGCAGCTTGTGGGGATAGGTTAATTGGATAATACAAATTGTCACTAGGTGTGAATGGTTGTCTGTTCCTGTGTGTTGGCCCTGCGACAGACTGGCGACCTGTCCAGGGTGTACCCCGCCTTTCGCCCTATGACAGCTGGGATAGGCTCCAGCGACCCTGAAAAGGATAAGCGGAAGCGAATGGATGGATGGACCATCGACCCTCTCCCCAGACCTACCTACTAAAATCTTAGCCTAGTTAGCTTCTGGAGTGTACCAGGCGCGAGGCAACTTTAAAGGTTAAGCATCAAGTGCACAAAGCACCGACAAGCCTACCCCCGACAGGGAACTAATCCCCACTTGGGATTACTCCGAAAATTAAAAAAAGGCAAAATAAAAAAATGAGTGCCTGAAGGAGGAGCTTACGCTCAGCTAGACACCCCCCTGTGCTAACTGGAGAGAGTATAGCAGATACAACACAACTACACAAGCCACCGGCAAACAACACACTACAACCTAACCGCTGTTCCTTCCAGTCATATCCCGGACGAGCCCCCACATTGTTACGTCCCCACGATGAAGGTCTAGGGGTGTGTGTGGACTGGTAACAAATGGGTCCAGAACAGAATGAAAGGAGAACAGACAGAGGTGCTTAGTAAATAAAATAGTTTTTATTATAGATAAAATTAACATAAAGAGCCGGCAACGCTGTTTTACCAATAACACTAGAAAAAGAAAAAGGTTGCAACAACAAAGAACACAACAACCAAACAAACTCCACACCACGAGGAGGCACTTCCAGGGGCCCACTAGCTCACCCTGTCACTAGCAGCAGCTAGCTTTACTGCTGCCGAGGCCCACAAGCCCACACTACTCATGTGAAGCAGCTACACTGCAAACTGCTTCCACAACTCCACACTATAGGATCTCTCCCGACACCTTCGACAGACACTGTGGGAACACCAGAGAAAAAACACTCTCTCATATCCAGTTCATTCCCAGCTTATATGACCTAGGAGAGGTGATTGCTAACTGGGCCCAGGTGGTAAATGAGGCCAATGAACAGCAGCTGTGTCCTGGGGAGAGAGAAGAGCAAGAGAGAGACAGAGGGGTGGAGCAAGAGAGGAAGAGGCGGAGAGAAAACACCACACCCACACAAGGGCAGTTTCAGGAGGCCCAGCTAGGGCCTCCTGTAACAATACTCATTAAATTTTTCAGTGACTCCTTAGAGCCTGCATACAAAAATATAGGCACACCAGTATAAAGTAGCACACCACTCAAATTTAAGAATGGACACATTTATTCATATGGCTTAGAATGAACCTGTTGGTGAGATTTAATAATCTGATTCCAAAATAAGATCTCCAAGACCTGAGGCTGCGATGTCACACGGTCGCACGGTGCAGAAAAAAGAGCCTCTCTAGTGACTGCGAAAAAGAACAGCAATTAATATTTTAGTGCCTAAACTACGATAGTCTTGCGAGTTTTCTATTATGGTGGCGCATTTATATACACCACGAGTCACAGGAAACCTTCAGTGGGCTACTGCTACAGAAAAAACCCTATTTTCGGTGTACCATGTACGTCAGTGTGACATCACTGTCCTCGTTTAAATGGAGGACACAGTGCCAAATGTTCATTATTACAAATGGAGCTGTCCTCAGTGTCATATCACATTCCAAAGCTGACATTCAGCGGTTTTCCCTGCAAGATTATCAGAAGCTTTCTCAGTTCTTTGCTGGAATGGACCAGCAGCAAAATCTTGCTTTTTCTGACACAGTGATGTCTTTTGGACAAAACTTCTTCTGTGGCATCGCTGTCTCCATTTGAGAGTCACATCTCGATTACTTGTCATCTGTGCAAATGAACATCTAATAAGCCTCTTCTTCAACATCTTTGATTTGCGGGCATTTCATAATTATGTTTAAAATTTATTCCTGTTCGTTTTTCAATCTTTTTTTTAAAAACATTTTTGACAATACACCAATTTGACCACAAGCCGAAAAGCAGCAGATGAAAATATGAAAAAAAGAATGAATTGGTTTCTTTTTCACTAAAAAAAGAAAAGAAAAGATAAGCACACACACACACCATGTAAGACCCAGGAAATGTGCTGCTTTAAAATTATTTGACTTGTACTGTAAGTTTTGGACAGACGAGCATAACACAGACTCAGCACACAAGCGACATCCAGGTCAGCACAAATTTACAAGGGTCACCGCATCAGTGAAACCAACGTACAACGTTTGCGGTATCTCATATCTGTCAACCGCAAGATGGATGAGACACAAGTATAGATTTACTTATGGTCAAATCTGTCAAAAAATTAGAAATAAAACAAGCATGCAATCATACTTTGGCAAAAAAACAATTTAAAAAAAAGCAAAAAAATAAACAAACCCCAACTGCTTCTTGGCAAAAAAGAAAATAAAACGTTCAGCTTCTTGAGCACATTGCCCTTCGCTGGTCAGGAGCAGCCTCATAATGGATGAGCAGCTTTATCTTTAACAGGCCAATCTTCATGTCTTCATGACAGAACAGAGACGAATGTGTTAAAATCCATGTCTGTCACATCAGTCACTTTGTGTTGTGTGTCGAAACTCGTCAGGAGCACTAAAGAGCATCCCAGTCCAGTCCCTTCATACAAGTCATTGTGGGGGATTCAGCCTATATCCTAACCACAGCTGGATAAAAAAGGAGGAGGAGGAGGAAGAGAGACTGGATGTACTGCACATATGCATCCACACACACGCACTCACATTCAGCCCTCTCATTTTTCCATGTGGTTGTCTCCACCCTCTCTGCTTGTTCTACATCACGTTTTCAAACAGCTGCATGGATCTCATCATAGTTTCATCCTGTTGAGAAATAAGACAAATGGTGTATGGAATTATTTTGAATACCTGTGTCTGTGAAATGAAATCATCTGATGGATTGTGTTTTTTCTTATGCTTGACATTTGACATAAAAAAATTTAAGTAATGGTGAAATTATGTAGGCCTATTTACACTTTACACTATTTACACTATTAACACTGCATGTATTTAGGCTAATATACACCACTGAGTCCTTCTCTAAAAAAGGGCCAGATTTAACAATGTCTGTGAATCTGGATTAAAAAAAAGTGTTTAAAGTTTTTATAACATGTATAGTGCCATCTTGCACCAGTACATAACATGATGTCAGTGCGTTAGTTGGTTGCTGCTGATTGCAAATATAATTTAATGTAAGTCTAACTACTCAAAGAACCAATAACTCAATGGAAAACAAAGAAACAAAATCTAAAAAGCAATCTAAAAGAGTCACTTTAGTTTTATGTTTAAATAACAGAGGATATACTGTTCACATTCACTCTCTGTCTTTCAAACAGTAAGTGGCTTTTAATTGTTAGCTAGCTGCAATGAAATGGGAAAATCCACCTATTAGCCGTAATGTTAGCGTTCGTAGACCACTTTATGAATGAGGACTGTGTGGAGGAGAGGCTGTTTGAGTCAGGTGTAGTGGTGGTTTCACGACTAGAATAACAAGCTTATGTAAGAAACTAGTTGCTTTTTTATGCATATTATATTTTAATTCTTTAAAATATAATTCATTTGACAAAAACACATGAAGAAGAATACTGACCTCTTGGCAGGCTACAATGAACTCCTCCAAAGTCACCACGCCATCTTTGTTTTTATCCATTTTCTGTAGAGAAAAAGACGTTTTTATTTTGTTGATTCTGTTCTGGTGGCATTGCCTTGCATCCTAACCCTAATGAAACAACCTAATAATGACTACAAAGCTGCTATAAACCAACAAAGGTTTCTTGGGAAGTTACGGGGTTATGACAAGAGACATTAAAAGTCTGCTTTCCTTTCATAATGTGTAAACACTAGGGTTTATAAACCTTACGAGACTGAAAAATGTAGTTAAGTTGAAAGTGTGAAAAAAACTCCATAAAGGGAGTTGATCCAATTTAAACAAATAGTATGGCTTGTTGTCTGTAATTTTGTAGTAATCTGTAAATCTGTAAATTTTATTGTCAATTCTTACTGTCATTTAATGGTCGGGCATTGCACAGCAATAAGCATTTCACCAAACATCATACTGTGTATGGTTGTGTGTGTGACAAATAAAATTTGAATTTGAATTTGAAATGAACCTGAAAAAAGGCATCCACATGCTGCTGTGGAACGTCTCCCTTCAGTGCAGGGTAGGTGTACTTGCCCATCATGTCATATATGGCCCTCACAATCTCAGTCATTTCCTGCAAGAACAGGAGATTGTTGTCATGCTTAGACAAAGATTTGAGATAACAAATAATATCCAGTTAAAACTGTAACAACACAGTCTCACCTCTCTGTTTATGTATCCATCTCTGTTGATGTCATACAGGTGAAACGTCCACTCCAGCTTTTCCCTTAGTGTTCCCCTCAGCAGAATAGATAGTCCCATTACAAAATCCTGTCCAAAATAGATCAGGGAAGTGGGAAAGCATAAATTAAAAAAAGAGCAGAAAATTAAAGAAATAACTAACATTTTGTCCATTTTTGTACCTTAAACTTTATGGAACCATTGTTTGCAGTGTCAAAAGCGTTGAACAGATAATGCGCATACATGCTTGCATCTGTAACACACACGGAAGAAAAGTGTAAAAAAAAGAAAAGCTTCATAGTGCAATAAAAAAGATTAAAAACTGTGTACTTTACCTCCATGAGGAAAGAACTGTGCATAAATGTGTTTAAAAGTCTCCTCATTCACAACTCCACTTGGACATTCCTGTGGAAGAAATGAGACTCTACAGTTATTCTACTCAATGAAAATTTGGTTGTCTGATGATGTGATGCACACATATACTATATTGCCAAAAGTATTCACTTGTCTGCCTTCACATGCATATGTACATAACTGACATCTCATTTTTAATCCATGGCATTTAATATTATGTAGCAATAGCAACTTAAACTCTTCTGGAAGGGTTTTCAACAAGACTTAGGAGTGTGTTTATGGGAAGGTTTGACCATTCTTTCCAGACGTGCAATTGTGAGGTCAGACACTGATGTTGGATGAGGAGGCCTGGCTTGAATTCTTTGCTCTAATTCATCCCAAAGGTGTTCTGGCAGGTTGAGATTAGGTTGAGATACAGACCAGTCAAGTTCTTCTACAACAAACTTGCTCAGTCTTGTCTTTATGGACTTTGCTTTGCGCACTGGTGCGCAGTCATGTTGAAACAGAAAAGGTCATCCCCAAACTGTTCCCACAACATTGAGTTTCTTTCACTGAAACAAAAAGGATGAGCCCCACTCCTGAAACCCCCTCCCCCGCAAACTTTACACCTGGCACAATGCAGTCAGACAAGTACTGCTCTCCTGGCAACCGCCAAACCCAGTATTATCCATTGGATTGGAGAAGCATGATTTCTCAGTCCAAAGAACATGAAGCGCTTTGTGCGCTTTACTTGAGCAAAGGCCACATGAAGCGCATGTGCAGTTGATTCCACAAAAAATTAGCGACCTCTGCTCAATATGCACCTCAGTCTTGCTGACCCCACTCTCTAATTTTATGCGGCTTACCACTTAATGAGTTGCTGTCATTCCCAATCTCTTCCATTTTGTCATAGTACCACTAGCAGTTAACTGTGAAATATTTAATAGTGATGAAATTTCACAACTGGACATTTTGCACAGTACCAGAGCTCCTGAGAGCAACTCATTCTTTCACAAATATTTTTAGAAGCCGTCTGCATGCCTATGTGCTTGATGCTATACACCTGTGGCCATGGAAGTGATTGAAACACTTCAATGCCTCAGTGATTTAGAGAGGTGTAAGAATACTTAGAATGGAATAGAACAGAGTTTTGGCAATATAGTGCATTTTAGTATGACTGCATTTTTTAAAATAACAATATCTGGTGTGTGCTTACATTTTTAAAACCACGATAGAGGATCTGCAGTTCCTGTTTGGTGAAGTTTGTTTGGGCTTCGAGTTGCTCAAGTCCTTCTGGTCTGTGGCACACCATCGTCATCTCAAGCTCATCATCTGTTTTATCTACAGGGAAGGGTAAGAGAGAGGCAGTTTAAAAAAAAGATGTATGTGAGCCTCAACATTTACACGCTGTCTGTTTAACAGTATGTCCCACTCAGGATTTAGAAATATGATGGCTTTTAAATACAGGAAAGAGATGACTCAGCGAAGCTTGAAAATGTTAAGTCGGCAACGAATGTTGTGGGATCAAAGAGAATAAAAAAGCGCTTCTGGGAGTGAAGCAGAAGAAAAATAAGGGAGGATGAGGGAAAAAGAGAACAAAGGAAGGATTTGAGGAGAACTTCATCTACTTGACAAATTAGGTTTCCCCTTAGGAGCTGAAGCATTTTATTAATGGCAACATGGTGCTCAGTGCCCAGTCCTGTGGAGATGGATGGTGGTTAATGATCTGAAGAGATGCTGCTGTTGGCAAGTGTTTGTCACTGTGACTATCTCACGCTACAGGGCAGCGGCTTTACAAACATGGACAAATATCCAGAAGAAAACTCCCAGTGGCTGTTGTGGGCCCCGGTGAAGAAAAATCTGAAGTCCGACGCTTTGTGTGAGGTATAGAGATGGCCTATTTACAAAGGGTGGTCTGTGGCTTGAAATGCATTGTTGAGACTGCAGGTATTATTAGATGATATGTCCTTGAATGAATTGTTTTGACACAAAAGTGTGGACAAAGCACACTATCAATTCCCAGAATTTCTCAATCACCTATGTTATTAACTTGAAAAACACACGTGAGAACAAATAAGCTTCCTAATGGATTCAGACTCAGTTCAGATGATTAGACACGAAGAAAAGGAGATTAACATGACTACATTGTTCTTCTTCTTTTTTTTGGATGGTAGTGATGACTCATTCATTTCAGCCCATTCATGAGTGGTGTCAGGATTAATCCTCAACAATGAAACTGTATCAAGTAGCATACATCATTATGCCAGAGGCCATTGTGATTTAAATTTTAAACAGGAAACAGGAGAAGAGGCACAGCTATAGAACTGCCTGCAGCCACATTCTCGGTCGTAACAGGTGCATTCTTCATTTAAGTCCCACCTACACCAGGGGGGAAAGCAATTACCGGCTCTTCATTGACTTTTGAGTGGGAGAGACGATCCTTGTCAATTCTGTCTGCTAGTGAAAAATAGAAAACTTACTTAAACGTTCTGTGTGAAATGGACTACAGACTGATTACAGAACCCAGAATAGGTTTTTATGAATTTATAAACTGAAAAACTGTGACTTTAAGGAGAAATAAACTTCTAGGAAAATCCCGTGTAACTAGGAAATGTAGTGAAACTGTGGGATCCTAACAGTCATATACGGAATATGTCAAATAAGTCGATAATGCCAAAATTCCAGCTTATGTCCATACCATAAGCTAAGCAGGGTCAGGCCTGGTTAGTAGTTGGATATGCAATGTGTTAGTTAGTGCTGTTGCCTCATAGGAAAAAGGTTCTGGTTCAAACCCACCATTTAGCCAGGGCCTTTCTGTGTGCTGATTGCATTTTATCCCTTTGTTTGTCTGGGTTCTCTCTGGCTTCTCCCATAATCCAAAGACATCCAGTTAGTGGGGTCAGGTTAATTGGTGCTTCTAAATTTCCCATAGGTGTTAGTGAGAATATTGTCTTTCTGTCTGTGTTAGTTCGGTGACAGACTGAGAACCTGACCATGGTGCACCCTGCCTTTTGCCCTTGGATGGCTAGGATAGGCTCCAAGCTCCCTCACAACCCTGAATTAAATAAATGAAAAGATGGACGGATGTCGGTTTTAGTCCACTACATTTCTGCAAAATGAGGTAACAAACTTTCAGAAAGCTGTAACATTACTATGCATGTAAGTGCTTTAGCTAACAACAGTGGCTTGCTACTGTTGTTAGCTAAAAGTTTTTATTTAGTTTTTATCTTTTTTTTATTCAGAAAGGAGAATTATTCATGGTATGTTCATTGGTAGAGGAAGATTGAAAAGCTGTTGGCCAATAAGTGTGCACTTTCACAGTGAGATCCATCCCTTGCTTGTCACTTCCAGTTTCAAACAACAAGATGGTGAGACCAAAAATGCTAATCTCAAGGCTTAAAAATGGATGTCTCTGAAGGTACACCCATCTGCTACGCTGTTTAGTATTTCTAATAGATAGCTAACATTAATTTTATAATAGCTATGTAGATACAAGGTGCTAAAAAAGTCCTAGATTAACAAGCTAAATCTAACATTTTAGCCAGCTAGTTGCACTTGTACAGTATAAGCATGCCAGCTTTATTTTTAATATTGTGATGCTAACTTTATTCTCCTGTATTTTCTCCTGTGTTTCATTTAGTAAAAACATGCACTAAAGATTTAAATACTGCTTACATCTGGACAGGATGGTTGACACAGCTATAAAAACTGTTAGGGAGTAGTCAGTTCAATGAGATTTTCCACATGCTTGGGAAACTATAGCAATAAAATGTTCACTAGAGACACACATGTTGCCTCTTACCCCAATCTGCCACTTTTACATGGCCTATTTGTCAGTGGTGAGATAGCATGGTGTCCATTACCATGCAAACATATAATGCGTTACTTTCTCTCAATCTCCCTTCCATCTTCCCCTGAGCTCCAGTTCCAACCCACTGACTCATGTTGTCATGGAGATAGATAGCCATAATAAATGTGAGCAGTGGTGGTATACTGGATCAACCATTTTTTAAAGGTGTCAAACACAATTTGTACATATATTTTCCCTGTGACTAAAAGTCTCTCGGTTACATGAAAACAGAAAGACAAAGGTGCTGTTAAGACTCCACCTATGTGGACTAATCTTTCCTGTGGGCTGATTTCTCTTTCCTGTTAATGTGACAGTGTGATTAGAAACAGATGAAATGGAATGAGGGTGATGAAAAGGCAGAGGTGTTGATTAGAGAAAGCTGAGACAGGACTGGGAGGAGAGGAAGGAAGAGGTGGCAGAGCGTGAAGAAAAACAAGAGACAACAAGGAGAACAGCAAAGGGCAAAATGGGAAAACACAGAATAACATCGAGAAGAAATGAGAGCTGAACTGGGCTCAGAAGCACAGTCAGCAAAAGAATATGTTGCCTGAGGGTTTCAAAAACCTGTTGAATATATCATATCATATAACAGAATGATTTGATCGCAGAGTAAGAGTCAGGCAAAGAAATGCTGCAGACTTTTGCAGTGAGTCTTGTTATAAATGGTGCAACAACTGCTCTGCATGTGATCACTCATTAGCATGTAATGGAAGAAGGTGGGAGACGCTGAAATGGTGCTGATAATTGAAAGTGCGTGTACATGCTTTCTTACGCAGTCAGTGGCAAACACTGCAGCACTAATGAAAATGAAGGTCATGTAGAAGTCTATGGGAAAATTACTCTTGGTTTTCCTTATAAATTTGTGGTCTTAATCACTAGTTTCAAGTCATAGTTGAATCTAACATGATCTATCACATCATCTTGTAAAGTATGTCCTATAGGCTGATGTTATATTTTGATTAGGAAGTTACTACCATATGAGTGTGCAGTGTCCCTCAGATCTGCCTCCTTCTCATCACATCTGGTTTTGGAAACACCAAGATCAAGGCAGACACTTTTTACAGTTCTGCATGCTTTGACTTTGGCATGATCTTGCTTTCTTCTTCCCTTTTTTCTTCTTCCGTCCTCTTAACTTCACGGAAGCAGCCGACTGCCCAAACAGCTAGCCTTGTTCCAAATATAATCATCCTACCAGTTTATCTAAAGCCTGCTACTTATGAGATTATATCTGGTTTCTTTAATCCAGCAGCCTTCTGGTGTCTGTAGCCATGAGGACAAAAGTTGAAGAAGTCACCGAGCCGGGTCAAAATCATAGTCCCCTACGTGATTCCTCACAAAACCCACAGCAGGCTGTTTGGTTTTGCTTTGTACAAAAGCTGACTGGGCTTTGGAAGTGCTGAATGCTGCAGGAAGAGTGAGGAGAACTGTTTCCCCTACCGTGTTGTGTGGACAAGCCCCCCCAATCCTAAGAACACATTTTGACCTGAATGTTTTTCTTGATTTGCGACAGCAATCTCTCTGCGTGTTTCAAAGTTTTGTTGAAAGTTTATACAGGACCTTTTTCAAGACAAACCAGGTATAGCACAGATTGGCTATACTGGTCAAATATATACCAGTTATATTAGGGCATTAGAGAGATAAAAACAACAAGCCCTCTTCCTCTTAAAATAAGTTATATGATTTTGTGTATATATATATATATATATACATATATATAGGTGCAGTGACTCCCAAGCTAGGCGAGTGGCTCCAGCAGATCCCGGGAATAACATCGGAGATCTCTGTCCAGAAGAGCACAGTCCTAGGAACAGCACTGTGCAGGTCCCTCAAGCTCCCAAGCCTCTGGTAGAGGACCCGA